TGAGGGACCTCGTTGCTGACGCTCCCCGTTTCTTGGCTGTGCAGGTTGGGTGGCCGTGACGGCCCACGAGCAGCAGAAGCTGCTGCTGAGAGCCTATGCGCCCCGGGGCGCCGCGCTCGTGCTGCGGGAGCCTCCCCTCTTGCCCTACATCCCCACCATCAGAGGTGCCCGGATCCCAGGCACTGCTGCCTACAGGACCAAAAAGCCACCTTCCCTGGTGGAAAACCTGAAAACCACGAGGGACAGGTAGGAGCGGGAGCCCGTGCCCTTCGCTGCCTGAGAGAAGCAGAAGATGGGGAGTGAAGGAGCCTCTGGAGAACCTGGTTGTTGATGGATGTTCAGGAAAGCTCGGAGTCCTTCCGAAACACAAGCACCTCGGGGAAAGCGGACCTGGGGCAGGGGGAAATAAAGCATCCGATTGCAGGCTCCACAAGGCCAGCTCTAACCCCTGAACTGCAGCCATCTCGGATGTGCTGAGCGATGGGTACCTTGTGGGAGACGAAATACAGCTTCTCCCTGGAATCAGCAGTGCCAAAGGGTTGCCTTTTCCCCCTTCTGCTCCTCCTCCTAAAAGGGTAGGATGGAAATTTGGTTGCCTGCCCTGACTTGTAGAGCAGGACCTTGCGAATCTGCTCCCTGCGGTTAGAAACGGTCTCAGCCTGCTCTTGGGGGCAGTGGGGAGGGCTCAGCCTCCTGGTTGTTGGGAATCCAACAGTTTACATCTGTTACCTACTGCTTATGCTCATTGGAACTGAGGTCCTCTCAGACCTCCAGCACCTTGGGAATGGGAAAGGTGAGTTAACAAAAAGCAGGGCTGCTCACGCGGGGGCGGAGGAAGCTCCCGCTGCTCTCTTTCGGTTTGGTTGCTGTAGCGGCTGTGAGGATTTCTGAACCTGGGTGTCTAATAAAAACTCTCGGAGATGGGTACTCCTCAGTCTCCTTTCTGAATCGCTGGCAACGCGCTCGTGTGCAGGCGCAACGGTCCCGCGCCACTGGGCCGATGCTGCAGCGGCAAGAGACTCAATGAGGGCAAAGCAGGGACATGGAAAGACATCCCCCTCCCCCAGCTGAACTGGGAGATGGGAGAAGGGTCTGGCTGGGGCCTGATCCAAGCAGCCTGGCAAACACAACCTTCCTCCCCTGCTGTGCGGCTGGGAAGAACAAAGCAGCACCAGAGTGGCCAGCCCCACACACAAGGTAACTAAAAGACCAGCCTCTGATACCATGTTTTGCAAATGCTGCCCCCGGGCCCTGGCCTCCTGGGGCCACAGGAGCCACCAAGAGTTAAAAGAAAAACTCCCAGGCAAACTGCGCTCTGTCCGGAGATATTTTTTTTTTGCCCGCTGGGGCAGGGAGCCAAGTGGGCCGGGAGTTGCCAGCATGTGCCTGTTTCCTGCCGCTCTCCCTGCGACGACAGCCCGTGCTGACCTACAACCTCCTCAGCAGCCGCCTTCCTCTGCGGAGCTGCTGGCACATCCTGCCTGGCTCCCACCAGGATGCGATTCCAGAGGCACCGGCCAGGCAGCGAGCTGGGTACCGGGTACCAGCGCCCCCCAGCCCCACTGCTGTGGGATCTGCTGCCTCGGTGGCCTCCGAGCTCCTGCTGCTGCTGTCAGTGGAGGAGAGCATCAGGTGGGAGGCATGTGTTCCTTAATAAAGTTTATTTAATCAGAACTAGGAAAATACACTTGTAAGGGTTAATATAATGCGATTTAGTTTAACTTTACACTACGTTTTGGACAAAAGGCTTATACACGTTTTAGGTAAAAATAGGATGTACGATCTGGCTTGGTTTACATCTATTACAAATGTAGAAAAGGCTGTCATGCACTACAGGAGAGAGAGAGCATGAAAAAAAAAATTACCTTTGGTTTATTTCAGAGAATACAAGTATTGCACTGTAAAAGCATCAAACATGGTGCAACCAAACACCAGAACCACGCTTTCGTGCCAGCTTGCAGAGGCTTGCGAGCTCATGTGGTTGGGGAGGGACATATATACACACACACGCACACACACAGAAAACACCTCCGTTAGCTCCTTGGATCCCGCCAATATTGGACACGAGCCCCGGATCTGTATGAGCACCGTCCAAGACCACTCTCAAACTGGGTTAATACTCTTAAGCTATATTAAGTCTGTTGAAATCAATGACATCACCACATCCTAACTGGCCTGTCAATTGTTAAATATGGTTCTTTTCTTTCCTTTAAAGGCCTAGAAATTTGAAATCCAGTAATAGCAATTGCGATGGGGTGAATTCCTACCCACCAGCTACCCCGGTCCCGGTCGCTCCGGGGGTCTGTCACTTACTTGGAGCGCCTAGATCCGGAGGCGAACGCGGTGCGAATCCCACCAACCCGGACGTGACCAAAACTGAACGTCAAGAAATGGGGAAAATGGCAAAACCTACGCAAAATAATTTAACAATGTTGGGGCGGGAGGGAAATCACCGTGTAAAGGGGCCACCGCACGCGGCGGCTTACCTAAGCTGTAAACCCTACGGCAAATATTCCGTATGAGCCACGTCTCACTTGGTACATGTATTTGCTGCCTTACCTTGACACACTCCCACGTCCTGGTCTTGAGCTCTTTGAGGAAAGCAAAGAAAGGGCTAACTCGACTCGGCTGTGTCCCAGCACTGGGTACCTGAGGACGCTGCTGGCAGAGCTTCAAGTCGCAAGGATGGCACCTTTGCTCCTTCGAGTGAGTCTGTCGTTCAGCTTCGGGCTGCTGATCCCGCGGCAAGAAGCGCCGTCCTCGTCACGGAGCTCGCGTCGCATCGGCACCGCGACTGCTCCCCAGAAAAGCGACGTGCAGCAGCGCAGCCCAGAGAGCCATTTGTGTCCGTCCTCGGAGCGGGAGATGTGAGCTCAATCAAAACCGTATTTCCATCAAAAACAAACGAAAAACACACCCAAAGCAGCCCGGGAGGTCCACAAGTTTATGCGAATACAGCTAAAGTCTCTGCAGTCTCTCGCAAGATGGTAAAAGGCTTTTTGCAAGGACATGGAAGGAGCTATGAATCCTCTGCACAGCGCTGGAATTCCCAGCGTCCACGGCATCAACAGCGCCGCATATAGAGGAAGCCTGCTGTGATCAAGAGGAAAAAAAGAATACATCTACGAACATGACAACTGGCTGTTTAGGGAAGAAAAAAAAAAAGAAAACCAGTTCAAGCTAGATTTGTTTTCTTAATGTTCAACATAAATAGAGTTGCAACTCGATCTTCGATGATTGTCGCAGCCACGGTAGGGATCGGACGCTCCATCCGGGCACAAGGAAAGGTCTCAGGCGACACAAGCGCGCGGGGGGACCTCTCCCTCCCGCATCTTTGGCCTCCGATCAGCAGCGGCTCCCGCGGGCAGGAGGAGAAGAGGCTGCTGCTCCCTGGGCACCGGGGCCGAGGCGGCGCCAGCGCCTGCAGAGCGGATCCAGCGCCCGGCTCCTGCTCCGGCCGCTTACCCGGCCGCAGGGAAGCGGGACGATCCCGGGCAACGTGGATGAAAAAGGAGCAGGAAATCCTACAGTTCTCAATGCCAGGTTTGTTGCTTACTGGTTGCTTTACCTTTTTCTTTATTTTTTTCTCTGTTTTTTTCTGTGCGCGAGGTGTTAGGTATCGATGGGCCAGACTGACTTACATCAGTGCTACCACTCTTTTTGTTTTGTTTTTTAAGCTCATGAAGTGTGGCTGCTGTCCACCACTGAAATGGAAAGGGGAAAGAAATCATCTAGCCTTGCAGAATCTGCAGACCATTCCCATGAGAGCAAGCGTTTTGCTTTTGGATGACCCCAAATTATAAATTATCATTAATATTCTGTATACATATTTAAAAAAAAAATCACAAGTGACATTTCCATGGAATGAAAACCTAGGAAAATGTCAGACTACAATTCAAAATAGTGTTTTGAACTTGCATCGGTAACTTTTACGCAAGAACTATACAATTTTAAAGCTAGTCAAAAATACACAACCAAACAGTTCAGAATTTCAGCACTTTCATGCACAGCTAAAAATAGCCCAGAAAATAAGAAAACGAGGAAAGAGTATCACAGAAAACTGGCCCATGGTAAGCAACAGATCTCAATGTCTCCAAATAAAAGCAGAGCTTACACAAACAAAACCCAACATACATGCATATATAAAGTGTACACGTACTGCACAAGCGCTAGTCCTACAGGATTAAACTGCATAGGTAAAAATCAAAAACATAATGTGCAATATTTTAAGCCCTTAAAGCACAATCAAAAAAAAAAAAAAAGAGAGAAAATAAAAAAATAGCAAACTTGCTCCCCCACAACGAAGCCAATTGTACATCATAGTTATTAAGATACGAATCAAGATAGAGGTTCTCCAGTCAAAAGTTGGAAGGTCTGCCCCCAGGTTTTGGCTCAGCGTCCGTGCTTAGGGGGTCTGAAATGTACGTTCACAATTATAATTACCTGAAACAGTCACGTTCATTGCTAGCCAACTTTGATTTGTTTCACAAAGTGCTCTTTTATGCAATAGAAACTCTCTTCCCGGTAGGAAAACAAAACCAAAAACTTCGAGGAGTTTAACACTCCAAACATGAAGACACAAAAAGAACTAAAAGGGGAAGAAAGAGGAAGAACTGGCTGCTGGGACATAAAGCAACTACCTCAGTGGCACCGCACGGGTAGCCGCAGCCGGGTCCCTAAAGCTCAATTTATAAACTATAAAAAATATAACTGTGCAAGTTAAGGGGCCAGAAGCTTGCCCTGACCTCCCAGGACAGAGCCTCGCTCAGCCCACTTGCCTCCTCTGAAAAAGAGATCCAACAGCCGAGTTCACCGTTACGCACAAAGCTGGCAAAAAATATTTTTAACTCAGGAAAAAAAAAAAAAAAAAGGCAGACACTAATTAAAGCAAATCGTGCTTTAAAAAAAAAAAAAAAAGAACAATCTACAGTATCCGTACATGAGCTGCATGTATAAGACCTTACAGAAGGCGATGAATGTGCCCCGGGCCGCGGCCGCCGCTACTCCTGCCCCTTGGTGGCCTTTTCCAGGTAGTAGACGTTGACGAGGTGCCGGTTGAGGTGCTTGCTGTACTCGCCCTCCTTCCCGAAGCAGCGGTCGCAGAAGATGCACACGAAGCTCTCGCCGGCGCCGCCGGCTCCCGCCTTGGCCCCCGCGTCGTCGGGCGCGGAGCGGGCGCCGTTCAGGCCCGAGTCGTCGCTGCCCTCCGAGATGTTGTCGCTGATGTCGCTGCCCTCGTGGCTGTGGATGCCCTCGTCCTCGTCCACCTCCTGCGAGTCGCTCGTGGCCGTGCGGCCGGCGCACGGCGAGCCCGGCGCGGGGGGCTGCGCCGCGGCCA